GATAAATCCCACTCCTAGGAATTTACCCAAAGAAAACAAGTTCCCAGATTCAAAAAGACTTATGCACTCCTATGTTCATTGCAGCACTATTTACAATCACCAAGAAATGGAAGCAACCTAAGTGTCCATCAGTAGATGAATGGATAAAGAACAGGTGGTACATATGCACAATGGAGTACTATTCAGCCATAAGGAGAAAAGAGATCCTACCATTTGCAACAACATGGATGGAGCTAGAGGGTATTATGCTCCAGGAAATAAGTCAGGCGGAGAAAGACAAGTACCAAATGGTTTCACTCCGCTGTGGAGCATAAGAACAAAGCAAAATCTGAAGGAACAAAACAGCAGCAGAATCACAGAACCCAAGAATGGACTAACAGTTCCCAAAGGGAAAGGGACTGGGGAAGATGGATGGGAAGGGAGGGATAAGGGGAAAAAGGGGCATTAAAATTAGCACACATAATGTAGTGTGTGTGTGGGGGGGGATATAGGGAAGTCAGTATAACACAGAGAAGACAAGCAGTGACTCTATAGCATCTTACTACACTGATGGACAGTGACTGTAATGGGGTATGTGGTGGGGACTTGATAATAGGGGGAGTCTAGTAACCACAATGTTGCTCATGTAACTGTACATTAATAATACCAAAATAAAAAAAACAAGAAGAGAAAGCCCGAGAAAATGGGAACGCGTTTCCTGAAGATATCTGGAAACCTGCTTATTACTAGTAAAATGATTAGTAGTTGATTAGTAGTAACATAATTCCAGTCGCTAAATTATTCTGCAAATATCCGTAGGAGCAGGCATTTCAATAATACCTGAGTGTATTTTGAAGCCTCAGGAAAAAAATCTTGGAACTGGCGCCTGCCACCAGGGAGATAGGAATGCCTTTCACTACCCGCTATAATTTACTTGTATGTACGGATGTCTGAATCCATCTAGAGTATCGTTGTTCAATTCTAATTAAAGGAAGTAGGAAATAATTCAAAAGGGTGATGAATAAAAATGTGCCTGGCATTTAGAATGAATGCATATTAGCCTCCCCACCTATCCCCTTCGAGTTTAGAAAATGTGTGGGATTCAGAACCCACAAAGTTTCTGAATATTCTCCTGCTCAGGAAATGCAGCTATTTTCTTCTGGACGACGCATGTTTAACCAGCTGCCCGGTACAAAAATCATTCCCAAGGAAGAAAAAACATTAGTGTAGCAGAGACCACATCTGCAGGAGGGCTGAGCCAATGAAGGGTAGAAGACACGTCAACATTGGGAAGGATTTATTTCCAACGATTCCCACAGGAGGTCAGATTTCAACTGGGTCTCCATGGCCACCTGGGCGACGCAGAAGCTAAGAACGGTTTTCCCGTTTTTAAATGGTTCCATTGTGAAGGTAACCTACGTGAGCGCCTCAATTTTCCCCTCTTAGCCTACAAATGCTAAACGGTTTATGATGGGACTCTTTTAGAAAAGTTTGCTGAACCCTGAAAATTGGTAGCGGGGGCTGGGGCACAGTCACTTGTGAAATTGTTTGGAAAGTTTCTCCCCCAGACTACCGAATAACAATTTGTGGATTCTGCATTTCCAGGAACACTCGGAGGCTGTCTGGCGTAGCTGAATTTGTCTGAGAGACAGGACAGAAGAAAATGGGGTCGGAAGCTAAGTGAAGAAGCCAGCACAAGGGACAGATGGCGCTGAGACAATTATGATGATGGGAGTTTTCTCCACAGTGTTGGGGAGATACAAGAAATTAGTTGGCACACGGAGGGAGATGGTTGTTGCTGGTGCCTGGAGGTGGGACGGGGCTTGAGGTATAGATCACGGATGCGGAAGCAGAAAGATAAAGTTATAGGTGAGAGGCATTGTTTCTGAACCTTTATTTGAGATGGTTAAAGAAGAGAAACGGTTGAGGGCAGCCTGGAAGATTTCGAAATGCAAAAGTATGTTAGCTGGGGTTCTCCGTGGAAATGGAACCAATCACATGGATGGATGGATGGATGATATAATGATAGATAGATAGAGACAGAGAGAGAGAGAGAGAGAGAGAGAGAGAGAGGTGGATGCATGCATGCATAGATGATAGACATACATATATATATATATATATAGAGAGAGAGAGAGAGAGATGCATGGATGGATGGATGGGTGGATGGATGATGGATGGATGGGTGGATGGGTGGATGGATGGGTGGGTGGATGGATGGATGGGTGATGGACAGAGATATATATAAAGAGAAGGGTGGATAAATGGGTAGAGAGACCCTTTACGCAGTTGGCTCATGTGATTATGGAGGGAAAATCTCACAATCTGTCTGCGAGCTACAGACCCAGGACAGAGGATGGTCTAAGCTTTAGTCTGAGGGCAGGAGAAGATAGAAGTCACAGCTCAACAGGCAGATAGAGAAAGGATTTTCCCTTCTTCCACCCTTTTGTTCTACTCAGACCCTCAACTGATTAGACGTGGCTCACCCACATTGGGGAGGGCCATCTACTTTACTAAACCCACAGATTCAAATGCTCATCTCATCCAGAAACATTTCAGAAACACATCCAGAATCATGTTTATGAAACTATGTGGGCTCCCCATGGTCCTGGCAGGCAGGCACACACAGTTTACCATCTCAGGAGGGAAGAGAATATTCCAAGAGTTTAGGGGAAAAAAAATGCTTCAGTGTGGTACACCGGGATGGGAGGTGATCATGGTGAGGCAGGGTGTACCCCTTTCTGGACCGATGCCCCCATTTCCCAGATGCTGGCAGTCTGCCCTGCTAATGTCCCAGACTGGGCTCGGTTCAGGGAGGTCAGCCCACCCCTACCCAGCCTGGGGCAGTGAACTCGCAATGACGCATTGTGCACAAAGCCGGCTCAGTGGTGCCATCTGTGCTCCAAGCCTCCCCTGGGGATCAGACTGTCTTCAACTCCTGCGAAGACCTGCTTGCTCCTTCCTGGGGTGCTCACCCACTCATTTTTCTCTTAAAAGCTCTTCCTGGATTCCCCACCATTCCCAGAACCTCAGAGCCATAAAGCAGGTAGGATGGAAGAGACAGACATACAACTCAAGAGGGGCCTGTTTGCACCTGCCCCCAGACAACTCTGATTCAGTCCAGTTCGCAGCCTGACCGTAGCTGGTGTAGACAGGGGGTTGCCAGCTCCTGACCTGGTGCCTGGAACCCTCCGTCTGGACTCGGGAGGGCTGAGCTGACACTTACCGATTCCCTTCCCACCTGTGGTTAACGCCCTGCAGGCTGTATGCATGCCTATGGTATTTTTCCGCTTGCAAAATATACCACCTCTTCTGTGCTTTTTTTTTAAAGCCAGCAGCGACCAAAAAAAAAACTTCTTACCTGTGAGTGTTAATGAGATGCCAAATTCAATTTTCCTGCTCACGAGACATCTGTGTCTTCCTGGCCGTGGAAGTGAGAGGGACCGGCACAGACTGTGCCACAGGTACAACTGTCCCCAGTTGTCACAGGCTGGGTCAGGACTGACACCTATATCTCTGCGTCTCTTGGTAAACAGAGTACCAAAATCCAAGGGGAGACCATTTCACGGGATTCACGTTGGGGTCCTTTTAAATTGGAGGTGCAATTGATCCACGTGCCTGCCTTCGGCTTTGGCATATGGGACGCTCCCTGAAAAGCTGGTGAGGTGGGCCAGCACCACACACACCACAGACCCCACAGGAATAAAATGCTTTGTTCCTTGGGGAAGATTTGCTCCAGCAGATGATACACCAGGGAACTCTCTAGAGCCACACAACGTACTAGGAGGGGGCAGAGGCCTCAAAATATGCCACAATCACATTCCTCTTTTGATGCAGAATAACAAAAGTTGAGTTCAGAAGCCTGCATCTGTACACCGAGCGCCTCTACTTTGTATCAGTCGTCTCTCACTGCGTAACAAATTAACCCCAAAGTCAGAGGCTTAAGCAACACACATTTATCATCTCAATGACCCTGGGAGCCGGGCAAGTTGCACAATGTGACCTAGTCCCCTGCTTCAGGCTGCAAACATCTCATCCAGGGCTCAGGTCTCCTGTGAGTCTGCAGGAGGGTCTGCTTCCACACTCGTGTGCTCAACGGCAGAAATGGAGGGCTCCTGTTTCTCCCTGGGTGTGTGTGGGCTGGTGGTCACCTCCACGCCTTCCTGCCTGGCCACGTCTCCATTAACAGCTCACAAAATAACAGCTGGTTTCCAGTACAGGCAGCAAGGCTAGGAAGATGGAAGTTACAGTCATAGGCAACACCGTCTTGGAAGTGACATCCCGTCCCTCTGGCCACGTGCTCCTGCTTAGAAAGAAGACAGTCTCCCTGTACACTCTCAGGAGGGCAGACACAAGGGCTGTGACTGTTAGGAGGTGCACATTGTGAGGGTTCCTCCTTGGAGGCTGCCCATTACTACAAAATCCTCTGCAGAAATCCCTCTGTAGGTCTACTATCGAGGTTTCCATAACTACCACTTTTTGGACATCTTCCCAACGATTAGCTGCTTTGCTGGCTGCAAAGGGCGCCACAGTCAATGGGCACACTTGGTCCGTGTTTCACAGATTTTTCAGCAGCCGCATCTTGAGCCCGTCAATCACGAGGAACACTGGCTCCTTACCCTGCAGGTTGACTTTATCCAGGGCCACGAGCTAGCCGGGCAGCCCAGCCAATGTGGTGCCACTTCTCGTTCTCACATCTCACGGGGACCTAAGGAGAGAAAGGAGTGAATTCCTTGCATGTAAAAATAAAAAGAGAAACATCCCACACCTGTATCCTGTGTAGATTCAGGTCAAATATTTATACAGAGGCATCAGTCTGTGCACCGCAGTCTCTTTTGTTAGGAGAAAAAAAAGGAGGCTGACTTGAAATGGAAGGTGTCACAGCGGCTAACGGAAAACAAAGAGGCATGGCGGGAAATTGCAAGTGGGGTAGAAAAATGACTCTAAGGCGCAGTCAGTGGCCGATGCATGAGACACAATGCACGACACAGCCTGGGGACCTGCGCAGGGCCTTCCCACCCCACCGGCTGCAGGTGCATATGAGACCAACACAGCAAAGGGGAGAAGAGGACCGAACACAGAAAGAAGGCTGGGGATTTCAACGATGTGCTGGAGGGAGAATGGGGGGATCTTAAACCCGGCAGGGCCTCAGCAAGAATTGCTTTTTATGTCAAAAAAAAAGAAAGGAGACATGATGCATGCAAAAAACTCCTCCTATTTGAAAGGAAAGACATGAAGAGATTCTGATAAAGAATTTCACGCTGTGTGGGTTTCTTCTATGCCAAGATTTGTATGCTGAGGACTTTTAACCATTGTAGTATTATTGTACCCAAAAGGCAACTGAAAGGGACCAGATCAATGTGGACCTTATTCAGTTAGGAGAGTAAGATGAGTTATAATTAGCTCCCCAAGTAATGTCTCATTCTAGTGAATGACATTTTTTTTTTTTGGTTTTACAAAAACACTTTACTAAGTCGGGTGATTTTAAATCTCTCCTAGTTCTTGTATGAACTAGTTCTCTGAAGAGTCCATTTTCTCCACACTGAGAGGGTGTTGGGATGGCCGTGAGATGCGCAGATAATACAACAAATAGTGTAAAAAATAACCATAAAGATGAAGGTATCATATTGGACTTCCTCTGGGGTTTGGTAAACTAAGGTTTTCAGAGTCTGGTACTGAATTTGTGAGGGGGCAAGAGACCTGCTCAGACAAAAGCAGGTGGACAGCCTCCCCAAGCACCGTGTTTATACACTTTAGTGGGAACAGGGTTTGAGGAGAAAAGCACACAGAGATGGAGACAGACGTAGAGGCTGGGACAGCCACATGCATGTCTGCAGAGGTGGAGTGAAGACACAGAGACGGAGATGGAGGGCGACATAGGTGCAGGTGGATGGGCACATATTAGCCGTAGCTACGAGACAGCCTGGGTGTGCATGTGGGGCAGGTGCAGCTATAGCGATGCAGGGGTAGCTGTGGGGCTGGGATTGATCCCAATAAAACAAACATTCCTAATGTGGGTGATGAAGGAATTGCACTGGTGTTGAAGGTGGAATGATAAATGTATAGGTCTGGTACAAATATAAGTGCAGCACTATAAATCCATAGTATAGGTATAGAAAGAGAAGCATATATATATATATATATACACATATATACAGACACACGCATACATGTGTATATATGTGTATATAGGAAGAGAATGTGTATATATATATATATGCAAAGCTATACACTATATATATACACTATATATATATATATAGGTGTAGGTACAAGTATATAGGTTAATACCTACATAGGTGTACAGCATAGATCTAGTAATGGTGTGGCTGACCAGGTAGAGGTATATAGATATAAGTGTGCAAATAGAGGCATAGGCATGTCTATACAGACATAGGTATATAAAATAAATATAAATAGATACAGATAGAGATGCACACAATAGGTGTAGGTGTATGCAAATGCACAAAAGGAAAAGTACCAATAAACATGAGGAATATACACATAAGTATCGGCTACAGGTACTAGCACAGGTGTGTGGCTGCAGGCATGCACACGGGATCCAGGGGACAGCACTGGGCTAGCTATGGGCACAGGCGTGTCAGCGCAGGTCCAGGTCAGAACAGGTGTCACTGGGTAGGCAGGGGTGCATAGGCGCAGACCTGGGCATAAGATGGGCACGCACCTCAAGAAGGGGAACCCGGAGATCACGGGTGCGGGAAGGAGGGATCAGCCCAGCCGGGACCAAGCAGGCTGCATGGAGAGGGGGAGAGGCGGCCTCTTGGTGAGGCTGGAGGTCTAGCTGGGCACCCAGGGAGTCCCAGAGGGGACACGGCTGGGCTCCGGGAGCCACGGCTTGTGCGGAAGGCAGGGGTGTGTTGGGAGATGCCCCCGGGGTCCTGGACAGCATGACGGCCCTCATCCTTTGCAGAGAGTGAGGCTCAGGCCGCTCTTGAACCCCAGCCTTTTCCCTCCTGACTGTCTCCCCTTCATGCTCCCATATCTCCAATACCCGAGGGTGTCGGCTCTGCCTGGAGGCCCCAGACTCGCTCTGGGTACATGTCAGCCAGAACACAGTGGTCCCTTGAGGGAGGTGCCAGGGGCCTTCTGGAAGAGGACCACCCCTACGCCCAACTCCAGTGGGGGCGGGTGGGCGGCCCCGTCCACCCCAGCACGTGTTGTGCTAGCCTGGGACCCCCAGGAACTCCACCCAGGGAGGGTCCCCTTCCTTCTCCCCCCTTCTGCCCTCTGCCAGCATGGACACCCCTGTTCCTGGCTCCTACTCTGGGTGTGGGGTGGGGGGCTCCTCAGTGGTAGCCGCTCCTCCCCCTGCCCTCATGCCCAGCACCTCTGCTGCCTGCACAACCAATTCTCTGGATGCCCTCCCAGGGCAAAGCACGTGGGCTCCAGCTCATCCCCTAAAAGGCGCCAGGTCGAGGGTGCCCTGGAGTCAGAGTCAGAAAAACAACGCGATGAATCAGCGGCACCATCTGAGACTTGGAAGGTGACTAATGCTCCCCAAGATGTTCTGTTTCTAAATCACGGGTGGGTTGTAAGACAGACTTTTTTTTTCTTCTTCTTATTTCTCCTTCCCCATCTCTTTAACAGAAGCACCTACACCAGCAGGAAGCAGCTTTCAGGATGTCAAAATATTTTTGCAGCTTCGCTGTGAGCAACAGAACGTTTCTCAAATGTGTACTGGGTGCCGCCTCGGGTGGCAAAGTCCCACGTTTTCATCTCAATGTTAAGAGGGCTGCCTGTCTCTTGAGAGTTCGGGGTGGGCTTGGGGGCGACACTCCATGCCTGAAAATCCTTCAGGACCCAGAGAGGAGGCGCTGAACGAGAGAGCCCCACATTACAGACAAGCGACACGTGTGTGTTCTTCATTTTCCTCGACGTATATTGCAAAATAGGAGATAACAGTGCAGAAAAACAAAGGGGAAAATTGAACGTGGACATTGGCCATTTCCACGGGCAAGGAGAGGCCTGCAAAGACCTGCGATGGGGCAGTCAGACCTGTTACATAAATTAGCTTCCATCTCTGTAAAAACCCTCAGAACAGGAACCCAGCTGAGATAAATAATTTATTGGTTCAATTAAAAAGAAATCAGGCCCTTCACACACACACGCCCCGGAGACACAGCTCACATGAAGAACAGGGCGATGCATCAAATACCCTCCGAGATCTGTCACCTGCCTGCAGAAGGGATGCATGTTCTCTCTGGGCAAGCGCCCTCCTTCTTTCAGGACCGCACTGCGATCATGCTTCAAGACGCACCGATAAGTTTTGTCCAGCCACTGAGTGATGTCTTAACAACTGTTACATGCGTGTCTTCTAAATTCTCACGTAGAAGAGCCTATTTTTTTTTCTGTGTCGGATTTTTCTTGCCTCTAAGAGCGCTGGAGCATTGAATGGTACAAAACTGTGCTTTTTAGGGGTGGGGACATTCCCCAGCGGGTTCTACGCCGTATCTGGAGATACTGGGAGTCACAACTTTAGGGTGAGGGCTGCTCCTGGCATCTGGGGTGGGGGGAGGTGTGGAGACCAGGGAGGTTGGTCAACACTCCACAGTGCCCAGGATGCCCGCCCCAGAGGACGATCTGGCCCTAAATATCAATAGGGCCGAGCTCAGGACCCTGGGCCACATGCGTGAATGATGACAACTTTGTGTACTAACTTCCTGGGGCCACCAGAACATCCGGCCACAAAGTGGAGGCTTAAAACAATAGAAACGGGTCCTCTCATGGTTCTGGAGGCCGGAAGTCAAGATTAAGGTCCAGGTAGGACTGGGTCCCCCTGGAGGCGCTGGCGGGCGATCTTTCTCCCTGCCTTTCTGCCCACAAGCCCTGAGATTCTGGACACACCACCCCCGTCTTTGCCTCCACTTGTCCCTCCGTGTGCGTCCAGTGTTCACATTTCCCTCTTCTCATAAGGGCATCAGTTATGGGGTTTAGGACCCATCTTCATCCTAAAACAAGACCGTCCCCTTGTCCTCACCCATTATATCTACAAAGGCCCTATTTACAAATTAAGTCACATTCACAGCTTCTGAGGCTCAGAACGCCAACCTGTCTTTGGGGGAAACACATTCATTCATTCATCAATTATTTCATTAGCACCTCCTCCGCCAAGCTAAGCGAACATTTAGAAAGAACGGTTGGTTCCACTCATGAGGAGCAGTCAGTGTAACCCCGGAGAAGGGTCCGGATTTTCCTTGTCTTCTCCCTAGGCCTGCTCGAAAGATGTGGGGCCACCCTCCATCCGACTCACGTCGACTGCCCTCAAATAACCTGGGGTACAACTGCCCCTCACACAGAGCCTCACCTCACTCGTCTCAGGGACGGCTCCACTTGGGGGAGGCATGCCTTTCTAGAAGACATGTTTAAAGGAAAGCCATTGTCTTAAACAAACAAACAAACAAACAAACAAACAAACAAACAAGCCCCTATGGTGTGTAGCCCAGGGACCCAGGCATGGTGTGAGACAAGATAGGAGAGACTGGCCTCCACCGATCCTCTGCAGAATATTCACCAACCCCGTGCACAAAACTTCCAAATCCCCGAGCTACGGATGCATTGAAAAATTGCAAGGGACATAATAAAAAATGGTCCAGATGTTATTTTCAGCGATTGAAGCCGTGTCCGTTTTGGAAGAAAGTAGGACAGCAGCTACATATAAAGACGTCAACAAATAAAAATCCTATTGTGACTTAACCACCTCAGGAAAACCACGTTAGGTTCCAGCTTGGTGTCAGATATGGAGGTGGAAAGGGTGGCGAGGACTTTTGTTGTCAAAGTGCCCCTGTTTCTTCCGGCACAGGTGAGAGCAAATTCAATTTGCATCAAGGTAATTCCCTACTCTGAGGAAAAGCAAGCTCATATCCAAAAAAAATATACAGAAGCACTCGACCCTTGTTTGCATGTGTGTGCATGCATATGTTCTTAGGAAAGAACATGAATGCAGATTATTTTTAAAAATTATTATGACATCCACCAGCCAGGATGCCTTTCTACACATCTGTGAAACGAAGAAAATAAAATGAAGAAAAAAAAGTGTGTGCAGGGTGGGGTGTATATGTGCGCGTGGATCTTTTGGGGGTGCAACACGGAATACTGAAACATGATAAGCATTTAAAAAAATTGTCCTTGTGATAATATTTATAGATATTCTAAATACATAGTATCCATACATACAAGCACCATAAAATATACTCTTTTAACCTTTCTGAACGGTACAATTCCCTGTCATTAATTTGGTTTAGGCTACCGTACAACCATCACGGCCGTGTCCAAGTATTTCTAGTGTAGAAATCCAAGAGGTAAAAAAAAAAAAAAAATGCTTGTTTTCTAAAAAAAATGTATCTGGACAGATCAAATGCTTGAAGAACGGGTGCCAAATAATCTTTCTAAAGATGATGAAATCATTTGAGTCAGGCACAGCCTGCTGTACGCGGAAATAAACATGGTATGTTTTGCTGATGATGGTCCTGGAGTCCAGTGCAAGTTGTGGGTACACGTGGTACCCCGACATCCTTAATGAAAGCATGAACATTTGAAATGGCCATCATCACCAGCCCCACTCCATGCACCCCGGGCTTCTAAGCATCAGGCTCCCCCACATGGCTTTTAGCATCTGCATCGAGTTTTATGATAATTTTAAATGGCTCTAATGGACCTTACCTCCGTTCCGTGGAACTCAGGAAAAGCATTAACCCATTAATACACCCCCGTGGCGACCGACGCACCCCACATACACTTCACCTTCCGGATCCTTGTGTCGCTCAGAATAATCTGAGATGTGGAAACCATGCCGGCTTGCAACACATTTTCTGGATTTCTTCATAATCAGTGTATATTTTTAGGAAAGAACATGAATGCAGATTATTTAAAAAAATTATTACGACGTCCACCAGCCAGGATGCCTTTCTACACGTCTGTGAAACGAAGAAAATCAAGCTTGCTGCCACTTGCTTTCTGTCAGAGCCTGTAGAATGAGCAAGGAGATTTCTAGGAATCCTTAGGGGACACCCGACTGGAAATCCCTCCACGGCGATAGTGCCCCCGGAGAGCTCGCCGATGACCACAGGCCCCCCCACTCACAACAAGCAAGCTGTGTACTGTTGGGGAGGCACCCCAACACCTGCAATTGGCTCTCTGCCTCTTTTTCATGATAAATAGAGATGAACGGTCGTAAGACTCTTGCTGAATTTAATCAGAAAAGGACGCTGTTGTTGGGCTGAATCGATACCTTTCCATGCTTTTATTAAATCCATGCATTTAATAAATCCCTTCCCGTCCTTGTCTTCCTTCTTTACATACTGATTGCAATTCTTTCCCTCCCATCTTAAACTATTTAAATAACGCAAAGGCATGACATGTTCCATTCGCTGATGCACACTTTTGTCTAAAGTCTGTGCCCTGTATTGTTCCTCTGCTCCTCCAGACCCGCTTTCTAAAGTCTCCTGCTCAGCCAGCACTGTCATGGTGGCTCACCACCATGGACAGCATCCGTGAGGCCCCCCACTTTGCCCTCTGATGACTGTTTTGGGTTCTGACAATGGGGAACCTGAGCCGAGGTTGGAGGGAGCAGGTCATCAAAGAGGGGTGGTGGTATCCGTGGCTCTCTGACACCGAGACACTGGGCATGGGTGTTCTGTTCTTATCCAAGACCACGGCTCCTGGACGTGGCCCTGTCCACGTGGCTCTCCTTGGCTACATCTGCTGGCTGACCCTTCCCTCTGGGGATCATCAGAAAACCAAAAGGCTTTTCCCATGCAAACACCCCAATCTTCAAGCCCCTCAGACATTGCACAAGAGATGGCAGCAAAAGAGATGGATACAATATTTCTTTCTGGAGAAAAAAATGCAAGAGCGATTACCCTGATTCACACTGACACGCATCAGAAAAAGAAAAATTGCACTTGCCATGTATCAAGCACCTATTGTGTGCAGACATTACGGTAACTTGTTTACACCTATCTCTTTTATGTAATCCTTCCAACCTGCTGGGTACGGGGTTATCATTATCCCCAAGGCCCCCTAAGGATGGACAATAGACAGTTTCTGCACAAACTCACGTCTGAAACATTGCATTTCTTTTATCACTATTATATTCATTTTTTTGCAGGATATTGGAATCAAGTGCTATTTTGAACACTGGCTGTTTCATGATAGATAATATAAGCTTGTTTCACAGGAAACCATCTTGCCCGTTTTTAGGAAGTTGATAGAAGTAGGGTTTCTACAGGCAAAATCAATCTGACACATTTTTAGGCTGAATAAAAGAATGGACACATCACCTTGGTATCAGGATTTCCTCAGGCAAAGCCGTTTGCCGGCGGTGAGTCGGGCATGTGGGACGAACATCAGCCTTCTGAGGGCACTGGGGTGCCGACTGTCACACGACGGGGCTGAGAAGATAGTTTCAGGCGTGTTTCATCTGTGGACCACAGTGGGAGGGGCTTGAATTGTAATGCCGGTTGTTCAACAGATAGAGTTTGATTTTTTTTACTGTGTATTTAAAGTGGCTTTTTGTTTCAGAGTAGTTTTAGCTTTACAGGAAATTGCTAATACACTCTTAGGAGTTGGTGTATAGACCACACATGTTTCCCTTTTGTTCCATCCTATGTCAGCGTGCTACTTTGTGACAACTAACAAATAAATATTGATACATTATTACTGACTAGTTCACAGTATTCCAGTTTCCTTCAGCACCCTTTTCTGCCTCAGGCCCCCATGCAGGTCCCGCATGACATGTCCCATCGCCTCGGGTTCCTCTGGGCTGTGACAGCTTCTCCGACTTCCCTTGTTTCTGATGACCTTGACAGTTTGGAGAAGGGCTGATGATGCGTCCTACAGGATGCCCCCCTTCACTGGCGTTTGTCTGATGTTTTTCTCATGATGAGGTGGGGGTTGTGGGTGCGGGCAGGAAGATGGCAGAGATAAAGGGTTGCCCTGTCATGTCGTATCAGGAGCGCGCTCTCACCCTGCCCCACCGCTCTGCATGTTGACCGCCTGGCAGAGGTGTGATTGTCACGTGATTCCACTGTCAAGATACACCTTTACCCCCTTGTTTCCATATTGTATTATTTGGAAGGAAGTTACTATGTCGGTAATGGATTTGTTGAAGAACATTTCTCTGATGCACTGTCCTTATTAAGAAGTGCTTGTGGGGAAAGCAGACGCGCCTATGGCCAGGATCCTCCCGGGACCCTAAAGTACTTGGTGATGTCACTGGCCTGCTGCCAGGCTACTGCTCCCACACCCGTGGGCAACGAGCTATGACTGACTGAGTCACTATATAAAGAGCTCTGCCCAGGGCTCTGGGCAGAGGCAGACGTGGAGGTGGGTTACAGACCTACAGACTCCTCCGTGCCGATGTGCATCTAGTGCTCAACCTACCGCGGTGAGAATAAAGCCGAGGAAAAACACTTTTAGTCCAAGAATGTTCCATCGTCATTTCTCGGTCTCACTGAATCCAGAGTGAACCCACCCAGGGCCGAAACCCTCACGTGAGACAGGGGGCAAGTATGTTCCCTTTATATTAAGGATGTGGAAAACCTCTGCTCTTCACCAGGAGGAACTTTAAGAACAACGATCTTACAGAAATTACAGAATTTCCCAAAAGCCTCTCGCTTCAAAGGCTTCACCATAAAAGGAAGTAAGTTATACAAGACAATTGAGTATTTTCACAACAGAAACAAGGCAGGGAGTCAGTGTCTGAAAGCAAAGTTCTCTCAGCAACTTGTCTTCTCAGTGGCCTTTAATAATTGAATTCCACTTCCTGCAATTGCCTGATAACTTCTATCGGACCCAGTATCCCAGAGATAACATTATATTATAAGCTCTCAATGAAATCTTAAAAAAAAAACAAGCACAACCCTATCCGAAGGCATTGATGAATGACCCCAAATAGGAGAAACTGGAGGGCAGGATCTCTTGAAAACACAAGGAACTGTTCTGTGGAAGATTGGCATGTATGCGACATTCACGAGGACCGTGCCCAGTCAGCTGATGTGGGGAAAGTTAGACCTCTGCAGGTTTGTCAGCCTACAAGTCAGAGGGCAAAGCTGGCAGCAGCCAGAGTCACAATGAATAGGACATGATGAGGACCTTCCTGAAAGGGGAGACTGCAAGCTGGTGCCTTAAAATCTGGGTATGAATGTTGCCCAAATCCTGGGCATATCTGGACTATGTTGCATGTGTGGGGAAGCCCTGGTGAACCAGGGTGTACATTTCTGCAAGAAGCAGGGATTTTAGCCTCTGCCAACCGCAGGGAAGGCAGCCTTTAGAATTTACAGCCAGTCAGGCAAATTGAGTCTTCAGAGGAAGACAACTGACTTCAGAGTCTATACAACACACCAACACCAATATCCGTGACAAAAAGAACAAATTGATAGACGTGAAGAAGCAGGGAGATGTGACCTAAAATCCACTGAAAAAAATTATCAATACCTGCTAAGCCCAGATGACCTACGGGGGGAAAGTAGCAGATAGGAACTGTAAATATGCTTCCGGAGCTGAAGGAAAATAGTTACAATGAATAAACAGATGGGGGATTCGAGTAGAAAACTTGGAAATGATAAACCGAGCGCCAAATGGGATTTCCACAATCCGGAAAAGGAAAGTTCTTCAAGAGGTTTCACCGCAGACTCAAAAGAGTAGAAGATGGGGTCAGTGGTTTTGAAAATAGGACAAGAAAAATGATCTGACCTGAGAAATGGAGGGAAAATGATGTCAAAAATGGCAGAGGCCCAGTGACCTGAGGGACAATATTAAGTAGTCTACTTGTATGTAATTATATATATTATATATTTTATGTTATATATTATATAAACATTATATAATAAAATATGTAATAAAGGACTATATATTGTAATTATGTAAGTATATAATGTAACATTATAATAAAATACAATGACAAATTATAATTATCTGTTAATATATAATAAAAGATTACATACTACATTATGGTTATACCGTTTTTTCATTACAGCATGTATTATTATGACATACGTAACATTATAACATATTTATGTAATATATAATAACATGTTTATTAGAAGACAGAGGTAAGACAAGGAAAGGTTCTTGAAGAAAGAATGTCCCCAAATAGCTAAAAGCTGTAAATAAGCCAAAAGTGCGCCAATGCATGAACAGATGAGTAGATAAGCAGCCACTGGTATATCCTCACGACGGCATCCTACTCACCAACAAAACAGAACCACACCCACAATCTGATCATGCTGACAGAAGCCTTTCCCGAACGTGCATATATGACATGACTCCATTTGTGTCAAGTTACAAAACACGCAAAACTTAGCATGCAGAAAAAGAAGATAAAACAACCCAAAATAAAATAACCCAAATTATTGGCAGAATGATGAGCAGGAGCAGAACGAACTTACCAGAACTTTTCAGGGCGATGTAGTTTCTATGCCTCGAGTGGGTGTGAATGATTGTCAACTCACTGAATGGTGCACACAAGACAGTCACTGTCTACTAAACCCAAGTTTTACCTGCCAGACAAAACTCTAACCCATAGCATGTGCTTTGTGGCATATTTAACATAGGCAGGGTGCACAGAAGTCCAAATGCAGTATGGACCTTCACGGTAGCACACGCTGTCATTGCATTTCCAAGTAAAACCGGTGTTTTTGAAAGTCAAGTACGCACCCTAAATCACCTCGGAGTCATTTTTAACGGCATCCAACACCACGCAGAATTGGGGAGGGAGGGTCATAAAAATGCCAAAGTCCTTGTGTACCCTCAAAAAAGTACCGAATGCAAGGCACATACTAGTTTTAAGCAGGATGTTGAGAATATTAACCCCTGAGTGATCACCAGTTACTAATGTCGATTACTACTTATCAGATGCTTAACAGGTGGGTCAAATGCACACAGTGGCTACAAACAACAGCCATTGTCATCTTTATGGAGGCCTGGCTGCTTTCTGCACCGTCTCTCCATTCACACCACCCACATCTAGAGCAACAGTTGCTCCCATCATTTTGCAAAGGGGGAAACCGAGGCACAGAAACATGAGCAGCTTCCTGGGGGGTCACCGGGCAGCAAGGCGTGGCTGCTGAGTTCTATCCTCAGCCGCCCAGCTCCACAACTCTTGCTCTTTCCCACTAGAATGACACCAGCTCTTAGAAATCAAGGCCCGCGGCTTGGTTTTGGTAGCAGAGAGAAAGGCGCATAGACCCACAGTCTGTGCTCCACGGTGTGGGATTTTGAGCGCCCTCCTATGGAACAATGAACAGCCCAAGGCTGGGAGGTGGTCATGGGTTTTCCAACTTGGGGGTTGGGCATGGGACACATTTGTCCCAAACCCCTCCATCTTGCCTTCTACTCTTCCCGCACAACTTGGCCCCAAGTACCGTTGGCCTCGTACGAAAATCCCAGTGTTCACATTCACGCTCGAAGCCCTACGGCAGCCTAGCGAATCCGGGTGACATACGTCCGCTTTGATTCTTGTGACCCTCCAGCAATGAATGATCAGGACCTATAGGGCACACGTAGTAATTTCAGGGACCAAGACTGCAGGAAATAAATGCTCCCAGGAAAACAGGGACCAAGCAAAGACACAAGATGATTGTAAGGAGGAGAAGAATCATAGTAACAAATAAGCACGTTGCAGATAATTAACCAACTTCCCAAGCCGCCAGCGCTGACCTCTCCCTCCCTAGATGTTCAAGGAAACAGTCAGATAGTTCTCCTCAGGAAAGGGTCTTACGTCCATGTTATAGACACAAAGAGGATAAAGTCACACGAATAGGACTGTGCAAACGGGGTGAAAAAACGGCTCCCTGGGAAATAGGGGTGGGGGTCATGATTCAGAGAAAAGCCGTCAAGTGCAAGAATTTAAGCAACTACTTTTCAGACCTCAGATGCCAGAGAGGAACACTTCACATTAGAATTCTCGCAGGTGTGGAAGACATCCCAGGACTTCAGGTCTTCCTAGATTTTATACACTCGACACACGAAGAGTGTAAGGGGGGGAAAGGTTTGCTTATCATTCAACTTCTGTGAACTTGCTGTACTATTGCCTGCGGGACGGTCAGCGCTAAAAGCCAATGGGATTGAAATAAAAACCCGACTTTCAGAAAACAATGTGGGGCAGAAACTAAAATGTGCTGTCACCGTTAGCTATTTAACGCACACTTGCAATGAAAGCAAGCAGAGGATTTTACGTGGGGTTTGGTGTCTTGGCTCGGCGGCACCGCGTCTCACACTATAGCCCCTTTTGCAGAACACCCCGCACGCAGGCAGTCCACTAAGGGTGGCTTCAGATGGACGGGGCTTGCTTTGTCCTGCTCATCCCAATGGCGGAAAATAAGATGCGATCGCAGATTCAGAAACAGATTTCAAAGGCACCCTCTCTTGGTTTCCCCCAGACACTTCAAGAGACACCCAGTATTCCATGTATGCCCACAG